CCCGCAAACGATCGAATTTGTTTTCAGAAACGAGAGAACTCATCATATTTAACGATGAATAATGAACCAAGACATCCGGAACCGGATTATGACATTAATATCGGTGTGGAACCAAACACCAAAGAACCTTGATTGCTTTACGATATCACTTGTATCTTTTTTATTATAAATTTATTTGCAATTGGGTGGCAAATATTGTATGGAATGATGTAAATCAACTTTTTTTCGAGGCCATCCTAACGTTTAAACATTCATTTATGAAAATTTTGTCATAATTGGAATGTTTCACTAAATATTTCGCAAATCGTGACAAAATCATGATAAATGCTTGTTGATACAGAGAATTATTAACTAATTTATTGTTTTTTCTATAACTGCATATTTTCCATTAAGAATTTTGTAGAATTTTATAGGAGCGATTCTATCAGATATTCAGGCCTAATAAAAGATAGACGGATAGACGGATTTAAATTCATAAAACTTGGTTGATTTAGTTGATTTTACCATGATTCCAAGGAGAGGGCGAAAGGAGGCAAAAAAAATGAAAGTGCCTCTATCTACATTCATTCGAGCTGGGATTTCATTTTTTATTTAGCAGTTGGATATGAGAGTGGGCCTGAAATAGATATTTTACCTGAGAAATATATTTTCTAATTTAAATTTAAATTCCTCTAGGAGCTAGTAGGATTAAAAATATTCGATCCAGTATCGTAAGTGACAATAATTTAAATTATTTCGTTTTGCATCTTCTGAGCCACCCTAAGCTGTTCATTCAAAATCATTCATAAATATTTATCCATTGAAATAATTCGAACTGCTGATTATTAAGTCGAAAATTAAAAAATAGAATTCACGAAAAATTTCTTTATTCCTGAATCTTCGAATTATCATAGGGATTTTGGGAATCCTTTTATTCTCCCTTTATCCTTTCCCATGAAATTTAATTAATTAGTCAAATAGTTCCACATTTGCATTAAAATTAAAAATATTTGATAAAATTTATTTGTGAAATAATATTAATTAACAAAATATTATTAAATCATAATAAATGGAATTTGAAATATAATTATCATTATTTATAAATTTTGAATTTGTCAATTACCCAAATTTTCCAACTGATTTCGGTTTTTTAAAATATTTTTATCCATTTTTTTGCCTTCATTTTTCTCGGAAAAATCTTTTATTCACTACAAAAATTGTTAAAGATGGAAGCACCTTATCACTTGCAGTTTATTGAAGCATTTTATCACAAATTATTGTTTGTCTTTTATGTAGCTTAACAGAAAACTAGCCGCAATTTTACCATTGCGACTATAATTAATTTTTCAGTTTTTCTTTCATGAATTGCAAATAATTTGTTGCAAAAATTCACATTGTAATAATTATAATGCTAAAAATAATATTAATAAATAATAATAAGCGATAATAATAATAATAGTGATAATAATATAAACGATAGTAACAAAAACAAATAATGGTAAAATGATAATGAAAACAGTAATAAAAATAATAATAATAACGATCTATAATGATGAAGAGGAAAATAAAATAAATATTTTTTAGTCGTATTATAATTTTTTAGTTAAAGCTGGAGTATCAAAAAAAAAATTAAAAATTGCAATATTTAAAACAAAAATATAAAGGTAATATTTAAAATTTTCCTCATTTCTACAGTTCAGCAAACATATAGATATAGATGTCTCACCGAAAATTTTTATTTCCCTTTTACTTAATTGACTTATACTCTAATCAAGCTGGATTCAGGCCGAAGCGCGTTTATGCTGACCAGATATCCACATTAAGAAGGGTATTGGAACATCGTTTCAAATATTTCTAACCCACCATCATGTTTCATTGACTTTGCGGCTGCTTTCGATTGATAGAGCGGCGCATTGAAGGATAATGGCACGCGATGGTATTCCAGAGAAGATCATTCGATCATAAAGGCATTTTATGAGCGCGTCGGTGCAAATCTATGGCGGAACTGATAGAATCCTTTGAAATAAGAATTGTTGTTCGTCAATTTTATATCCTTTCCCCCATAATATTTAACTATGCGATAGACTGGATAACGAGCATCGCTTATCGGCACTCAAGAGGTGTGCAAATAAGTTCAGAACATAGCAGACTCCGAATAGGCTGATGATATATAGTCCTTCTTGCTGACAGTTATGAGGAAATGCAAAGGAAATATTTAGCAATATCTCAACAACTGCAGCGAGAATTGGATTCAAAATAAAACGATAAAACGAAAGTATTTTCGTCTTATATACAAGATGCTGATAAAATACCTATTTTTATTAATTCATTGCCGCTTGAGGAAATGCCTGATTTTAAATATCTTCTATCCACTCTAACACTGAATGGCCAAGGAAAAGACGAAATTACAGTCTGGATAATGGCAATTAGAAATGCTTTCTTCCGATTGACGAAACCTTTATAAAGCCATAACGAAATACCATAAAAACGAAAGTCCGCACCTATATAACCACGATTCGTTCGATCTTGCTATATGGCTGCATGGCCAATGAGAATGGAGGATATTAAGAAGCTATCTACCTTTGACCACTCATGTCTCAAGTTTCGTGGAGTGGATAAAATCTCATATGATCCATCTACCTTTACATACAACTTATATTAACAATGCAATCACAAAGCATCGCCTTAGCTGGTTAGGACATGTTGAGGTAGGCCAATCAAGATTTGAACTGATACGGTCAGGAAAAATTTGGAACGTATAAGTGGACCACCAATATATGGACTTAGATGATGGAAAAAGGAATGGCTTGGAAGCGTCTGACCCTTGTAGCCGCTGGAGCCAGCCTAACCAGTAATGGTGAGAGCTGTTGGAAGTAAGTAATATGCTAGAGACTCACCTATATTTCTGTCACCAAAGGACTGGCATATTAGTTTAGTTCGATAAACCAGCTGGGAAAGCCTAACCAGTAATGGCGAGAACTCTAAAAAATCATTAAAAGGGCTCATCACTTCTGGGCACATCTAAGTCAGCTCAGCTAACGTCAATGAATCACTTAGCGATAGAAGTTCGGATGGGTAGTTTACACTTTCTTTAGTGGTGTCATTGGCCCAGTGGCATTAATCTCATGGATAGAACCAATCACACCAATTAATACTTGTTCTATGGTTTCTTTTAAAAGATACCTCTGACCAAAATTATATTAAAAAGTGGTAAAATTTCTGCAGTAAGGCACGCTAATTATGTAATTGCTGCATTAATTGCACTATATCCTGTCTCCTAAAATATTTTGTAGAGGACTTAACGTCTAAATACAACACCTAGGGATCAAATCGAGTCAAAGGGTCATGCAACTCCAAAGTGACAATATTTAATAAATGTAGCTGCAATATAAGACACTGGACTTTCGAAACGAATTCCTCTAGCCGAGCTTGTTTGCTATTGTAGCATATTTACCTGAAGTGGCGCGTTTTATGTGAATGCATTCCAGCGAGGCGATTTTGTCGGTGTGGGTTTTTGTCGGTTCTTTTTTGGTTTTTTTTGGTTTCTATCGTTTGAAAAAATTTTCCGAAATTAGTACGAAGAAAAATTAATTTTAAAAAATATTCAATTATTTTAATTATTTGAAACAATAAAATCACTTAAAACACCAAAAATAATTTAATATTTATTAAATAAACGATAACTGTTGAAACCGAATTATTTGATAATTATTTTAAGGTGATTTAAGTAAAATGAAGCAGTTGGATGAAACGATTTGAGTTATGCATAATTTCATTTTATTTTAACTCAGTTTAACTCTTTTTGTAAATTTTTAAACATTTTCAAGTTTCGGAAAAATTTTTAATTTATTTTGTAGAAATTTCGTTTTATAAAAATTTTGTCTTTTATTAGTTTCTAATAATTTTTAATTTAAATGAAAAAAGAGGGTTTGTTTTTTTAATATGCGGAGAAAACTAAACGTCGACAGATTTCATTTAATCGCGCGTGGCACGTTTGATTTTAAATAGCCCATATTTTTTAGAGTCCTCACCATTACTGGTTAAGCTCGCTCCACTGGCCTATCGCATTGGGCAATGTGCCAGGGAGTGCCTTGGCGACGGAAGTACAGGTGAGTCGCCAGCATCACCCGGATCTTTGTACAGATTTACTCCTGTGGAGAATCGAATCGGCGCTCCCAGTTGAGCAACAACCCACTGACCCATCCTATTCCCAAATACCCCATATAGGTCAGTGCGTCTCAAACTTTGCATTGTGAGGACCTCTTCAAACTCTTAAAAACTGTCGAGGATGTATCCTAAGCTTTTCTTTGTATGGGTAACTTCTGATATTATTTATCGTATTGGAAATTAAGGGAATCTAGATATTACTGTATATTGTTATTGTTATATTATTGTACTGTGGTCCTCCCGGTCTTATCGAAAGGTCTCAGAAACTGTTCTCACTGGTCTTCAAATCTTACTTTTAGAATCGTTGGTATTTTTTGAATTTTTGTTTGATTCCAATCTCTTAAATTAATAATTAATCTCAAATTTCTCAACTATTTTATTGATATTGTTCAAATTTATATTGTGAATAACGATTCGGTCAGTCTCTATTCATGTATTATTAAGTAATATTTAAGGATTCCTTGCCAATCAGCGTTTCAGATAATTTTGCTGCATTTAATACTTTTTTCAAAATTTTTAATTGGTAGATAAGGTGACATAAGAGAACACAAAATTTTTCAATAGTTAACGATTTTGCACTTTTCCGCCATTTTTTAAAATTAAATTTAGAGTCGCTAGAATTTAATTTAGTGTTCGAAAGATTTGTAAAATCACGGTGGTAGAATATATAATGGATAAAACGACTCAAATACCATAAAAATGCGACTAAAATATTAAATGATGGATAGTATTATAGTGAATCATTGTTATGAATATTTTAATGTCAAGTTAATATCCTACAAATTCGTATTTCAGTTGGCTGTATATTCCACTCTTGAAAATTTTATTGATTCCTTTCAAATTTTTTTTATCATATGGAACCTCCGAAAGGTCAAGGTTGGATATCATATAATCGTGAAATAATTAGGCAAATCAACAGTAATCCAAAAATTGCCCCTCAGGCTTCTTTTAAATGTAAGTTTTCCTTAATTTATTAAATAGTGATATAGATTTAATATAGATTTTAAACTAATTCTTGAATAATTCATCTAACCTTTTTTAAATAGTTTAAATAATGATGAAACTACTCAACTCGGATAAATTTTTTTTCCAAATATTCAAACATTAACTTATTAAAATTTTTCCGAATGAAATAAACTGGTCGATTATTTAAGATTATAAAGTATTTTAAAGTAAGTATTTTATTTTAAGATTATAAAGTATTATAAAGATAATAAATTTTGTTCATTTCGTGTAAAATTTAGGTATTAAATTTACATTCTGTTTTTACAATAAGTCTTATCCTTAGATGTAATTAAAAAGCGAATACGTCGGCCTTCGCCTGATGAAGCTGATCAGAATCACCAGTATGGTGGAATAGCTGCTGATCAGTTATTACCAAATGCATCACTTGAAGATGTCCCTGAAGTAAGCCACGACCATAATTACTGGGTGAGTTTTTCAAAATATTCTAATATCCTTTACTAAAAAATAGTCTATTTTTAAATAGTGTCAGTATTACCAGAGGTAATTGACCGAAGTGAAGTAAACTGGTTTGAAGGACCAAGTTCCTTTTCTACATTTTTTTCAGTTGAAATATAAAATATTGGAATAGTCACAGCACTTTCTAAAATCCTTTTTTATTCGTTGTAATAATTATTTCAATCTATTTTAATCTGTATTCTCAATCTGTGTCACCTTTTTTATTATTCTCAATTTCTTATCGTTAGAAGCAACACATGGTCTGCCTATCTTTTTTTAAAATCTTTTATTTTATTTTATTTATTTTATTTCTTTATTTATTTTATTATATTGTCTTGTTTCTGTTCAGTGTTATTAAATAAAAATCATGAGCTTTTCTTTTCCAAATAAGTAAATAAATGGTTACTGCATGCATTGGTTATTTATAATATATATATGTCTCATGCTCTATGAAGACAAATAAAGTAACCAATACAAGCAAAGTTTTGAAAATTCTTTTCTATAAAAAGTATTCTAAATTATTCTAAATTTAGAAAAATCTAAAAACTAGCTTATTTAAAGATTTTTTCTCATTTTTCATTCAGTTTTTTTCATTTTAGAATCATGCAATGAGCGGTATTCTTCGCAAATTGCAAAACGACATGCAACGTTTAAGAGATAAGATGGACGACTATGAACGTAACGCTGAAGCGCGATATAACACTCTAATAAATGAAAATCGTTGTCTCAAACAGTATATCAAACAGCTTTTGTATGTATAATATCTTAACTTTTCTTAAATCATAACATTTTTAAGTTTTGAAAGAGTATATTTGGTTTAAATCAGTATTTCAAATCAGTATTATGTTAAATTGATAAATTGATATGATAATGAAATCAAAATGATAAACATTTTCAGTATGTTTCTTTTGTTCATTTGTTCTTAATGATATTTCAATAATTTTGGAACTTGTTTCATTCAGGTGATATTTGTCTGTTGACTATTGAATATTATAGTAATCTTCGTAATAATGAAGTTGATGCAACTATGCAAGGCAGCCAACATTCAAGAGCATCTTCAACCTCATATACTCATATGTCTGGCGAGGATGGTGATTATTATACTGGTGAAAATGAAATGAATGGAATGAATAGGAAAGAACGTGGAATTCATCGAAAAATTCCCGATGAACCTCCACAGTTTGCTTTAGAGTAAAATTATTTTTAGATGAAAGATGTGAATATTTAAATATTCCTCTTTTTTTGAAAATATATCGATTGAATAGATCATTTGCAGATCGTCTTCACTTGGTGGTGGCGACGAGCAAAATATTGGCTTTATAAGGCGAGAAATAAAGAGTGAAGTGTCATCACCAAATAAAATCGAAGATGGAGAAGTTAACACGACGCCGTGCTCTACAACTGTTGACTCAAAAAATATTTCTCAGTAATTTTTAATTTTTTTGTGATTCTTAATATTACAAATTGTGATGAAAATATTCTCTCCTAATAATTCTAAAAATTTTTATTTTTCTTCTCGTGATGAAAGATAGAAATAATGTCTTTAATTGTGCAGACAACTGTGCGATGGTATTGTATTTTGTTTTTATTGAAATTTTTTTACATTTTTTAAATTTAATTGAGAATTAATTTTTTTAAGAATTTTTTGAGAATTTTACATTTTATCTTTAAGTTAACATTTTAAATTAAATTTAAAAAAATTTTTCAAATTTATTCTGTTTTTAAGATTTCCCACTGAAATGGGATATGCCAGTATAAAAGCATTGCCAACCGATTTAAAAAAACCAGAAACTTATCAATATTATGATAATAGGCGAAAGATGGTTGTTGTATCAGATGAGTGGCAAGAATACGCTCTTTCTATTTATCCAGTTCGACCAAATCGTTATTGGAAGATTGAAAAGGAGGATTATGATAAACTCATACCTGTTAGTAATTCATTTCATGGTTGATTTTTAGAAATTTAGGATAGATAATTTAAAAATTTAAGTTTTGAATAAATTTATAAATTTAACTTGTGACTTATTTTTAGGATGCATTTCTAGAAGAATATGCGAAAAAGAAAGACGAAAAAGCAAAGATCGATTTGATACGATCCATTAAAAATTGGTTTCATATACAACATCGTGTTGCACAATTAAGTTTGGTTTTGAAATATAATCCAGACATTGCAGATCAAGATTTAAAACGAATTATGCAGTTCTACAAGAATCAAATGAAAGAAAGAAACTGGCCAATATATTTACATCCATTAGAAAAATATGAAATTGAATTAGCGGAACAGAATCTAGATGAGCCATTGTTTTATTAATTCATTTTTTCCATCTTTCTAAAAAAGCTATAGTATTTTTTCTGTTAACAGCCATTTTATGAACTTTTGAGCGGGAATATCTTATCCTTTTAGTCAGCTATTAGTGGTAAGAGCTGCTGTTGTAACAAAAAGAGATACCATTTCTGGCTAGCTTACTTAAGGTGAGGTCTTTGTCCAGAGAGTCGCTTGAGGATAAAGTTATAGATGGATCTCCAATATCTCCAATACCGCCTATTTTATTTTTAATCGCTTATCGGATGTCCATGCTATAATTTTAGCAACTGGCAATACTCTACCTTTGTTTTTCTTTGATTTTTCATTGTAAATTAAGAGGTTTTAAAGAAATCCAAATCAATAATTTAAAAAAAACCTATGTAAATAATAAATAATGAAAAGGTGAAAATTTATAACTTTTAATTTTTATATTGTTATACAATTTTATACAAGGTCTCTCGTTTTCTTTTTTAATATTTGTTGATCGAATTATTCCATGTTTTTTTTCTTAGTTTGAAATTGAATTTAAAAAAATCAAACCTATTCTTATTGATTTGATTTTTTGCATGATTTTGTTATTTTTATTGATATAAATAAATATTCATATCGATGGATGAAATATTTATTCCGTATTATTTAAGTTTTTTTTTTTTTCAAGAAGAATTTTGGATTTGAAATGTTGTATGTAAATATCAGGATAATATATAGATAGCGTTTTTTTTTCATTGGGATTATATAAATGTGAAAAATAAATATATAACGAAAAAAAGAAAAATAAGGTGCAGAAGTTGGTGCAAAACAATTTCTCAAAAGAAATGCATAAAAAGGATGAAAATGCAGATTTGCATAGTAAGGCAATCGTATATCCGCTACTGCAGCTTACTAAATTTTGAAAACCAAGCAGTTCCAAAATCCATGTTGATTAAATCTTTAAAATCTATACTCTTAATATTGACTATTTTATTTCCTATCCTTTCTGATATCTTTTGCCTTAACCCATTCTTCTTTCCATCTCAATAGTAACGCTCTTATTTACTGGTTAGGCTGGTTCTAGTAATTTTTTTCAGCGAATCTCTACACTGATACATCGATAATTAGTTTAAATACTTTTATATAACAGATTTAATCCTTCAAGGGACAAAGAATCTGATGCCTTTACTAGATCACCTTTATTACAATTTTCTTACCTCCATCACCTCCATAACAATTTTCTTACAACCAGTCATAAGCATTAATATTTTTCTTGGGACCACTTGTTTTTTTTTCTCAGTGCTATTCATCCATCAAATGTCCATAAAACATTAGCAATAGCAATATTACCATGATCCTTCTTGTCTCTTAGGCACAATTATAGTCCATCAGAAAGTGATTCAGGATTTGTTAACACCATCTATACTCTCAAAATTCTCATAATCTTCTCCAACAGTTTTACGAGTGCATTTATTTGAGACCAGAAAAAATATCACCTTAAAGTCTTATTGTATAATAATAATAATAATCTCCTAGTACTGTGATTGATAAATAAATCCGGTTTTGCTCTTTCTTACATAATACTTCTAATATTTAACGAAAACTCGATATGTTATTCGCGAAATCTTGATCCGCTATATTGAAACTCATTAACATCCATAAAAACCTGTTTATTCTGAAATTTTCCCAGAACTGAATATTGATATACCACTAACATTTTCAAGTATTCCGCTTTTGTGACAATCCAGAAGACTCCTTAGATCACTCCTTTTTAAGCCTATGAGGAGAGTCCTTTAAACATTTTCGTTCTTACGATACGAAGCTTTAGCATGATGATTTCACGGCGACCATTATATGTTAAAACTGCAAAAGGGGTTATGAGGATTTGACTAATGCAAAAACAGTAGAGTTCAAAAGAGTGTTATAGAACAAATTCTAAGGATTACGGAGTTTGAAAACTATTCTGCGCGTAGATCGAATACTTTTTGCTGATGAATTTGATATTTCATCTTCTTCTGGTTCCTCAGACAAAAAGGAATGAAATAATTGTGATAATAAAGGAATAAAATAGAATAATTAGAATTTATCTTTTGATAAGAATTTCAATAATCCAATAGAAATAGATAAAAATTTTGTTTCATGCTTTATGGCATATTTTTTGTTACGAGTGAAAATATTTTAAACATGGATGCTTTCCTAGATCGGGAGCCAACAATGAGTTCAGCTCAGTCCAACTTTATGCTAAGCTTTAGCTGCAACTTCTACTGTATTTTAAAATTATGTTCTGCTATGGTTAAACCACAACTATGGCTACTGTTTCAGTATTAAAAGATTTTCTTGATGGACTGTGACGAATGAGTATAGCTGGAATCTGGGGGAAAGGTGGAGCTTAATGGAGTTCATGAAGTTTTTTGAAAAATATGGTGAGCAAAAAGACCAAAATAATAAGCAAAACTAATAATTTTCTTATGGTTCTATCTTTATATCCTATTAAGATTATTGCAAACTGTTCTTTAAGAAATGCATGGATACCATTTTTCTTCTTCTTCCAACAGTTCTCATAATTACTGGCTAAGCTGGCTCCACTAGCTACAAAGGTAAAGCGTTTTCAAGCTGCACGGTCTGATGCATTGTAGAAGCCAATCTTTTTTCCATTTTCTAAGTTCATATGTGTCGCTGGTCCTATATATTCAAAGTCTTTTCTGACTGTATCAGTTTAGTCTTGACTGAACAACCTCGCTTTTGACGCCATCCGTCACAAGGTTTAACGAGAAACGAAATACGTGTCAACTCTTCTGGTGAGCAACGAAGAAGTCTGGTGACTATCGTAACCAGCGAAAATGATAATCTGTGATGGTACTGTTAATGCAAATGATACTTGAAGGAAGCTAGGTGCGATCATGAGATTTTGTCCACTTGGTGAACGTGAAAAAATGTATCTTAGAGATGAGTCGTCAGAGATAGATAACTTCTTAATATCCTACACTCTCATGTCTCGCAGCCATAGCAAGATCGAAAGAATCGCAACTATATAGATGTGAACTTTCGTTTTTATGGTGAATTAACGACGGCCGTATAAAGGTTTCGTCAACCGTAAGATCCCTCCAATGATGATTTCTGACCCGCAATGCTATTGGCTTAACAATTCTTCGAATAATCCGGTACCCAGGATCCCTTGACATTGACGTGCTTTGGCAGCGTTTTCAGACAGTAGGACAGTTGCTTCCTACTAGTGTGCCATAGCGTGGGTGTGGATATTGATGGCTCTCGAAATTATTCCTTTAATTGGGACCAGTATTCGTTTGCCGTTCCAGAAAAATTACTGATATTTGTACCATTGAGATGCTTCGATAATTGCGCCGGTTTGAAATTCGCCGACTGTCCTCGAATTTTTTAGTTTGAGATAATTGAAGGATCTTGGGAGATGGCATTTCTTGCGAATTGTCAATTTTACGGAACTTTGGCTTGGACATAACATGGTGAGATCCATGAAGATTACCTTTTTTAGCCCTGCGATATGAACCTCTATCTAGCACGGAACTCTTCAACCGCGACTAGCTAAAATACAATCAATGTAGTTGAAATGTTGGTTATCCGTAGAATTCCACATGATTAAATATTAGATATTTTCTATGATGCCAGAAGCAAATATTAATAAAATTTTTCATGCTGTTCGACGAAGAAGGCGTCCTCCATTGGCGCACCAGTCTCCAATGCTATATTTTGCCAATTGTCGAGGTCATCACAGCGGCATTATGACCTACCCGCGTATTTCCAGTCTAACCCGATTATGACCATGTTTCGATAGAGACTTTGTTGATAGTTGAAGTTCCGTATAGAATTTATCTTTATTACGGTCAACTGCTGATAAAGTTGGAACATAAATACTGATAACCGAGATATTCCAGAACTCACCTTTAAAATGGGCATAAGCCACACGGTCGCTTACCGGTTTCCATTCAATCAAACTGACCCTTTTCAGATATGATAATCGCTATTTTCCCCCGAGTTATCAGAAGTATCACAATGATGTAGTACTTCTATTACGAGCCATGGTTAATAACTGCTCGAGATCCGAAGTACGGACCTCCGATAAGGAGGCAATATCCACACGATATTTAGAAAGGATGTAGACGATTATCAAATGGCTTGCGACCTGTTATTCCATGCTGACTCGACTAATACCTCGCTGCATGTGCAGAGAAGTGTTCCCCTTGATAGATTTCAAGCAATCACCCTAACTTACGAGCATATTTTATTTATCAGCCTTAGGATCACTTTGCTCTTGGATAATATATTTATCGCATGTACCACCAGGTTGGGAGACTGCTGAAGACGCGTACGCCGTTTCAAGAATATTTAACCCTTTCACCATAGAGTCGTCGCATGGGGATAGAGTTACAACTGGATCGCCAGAAGCTACCTGAGTTTTTGATATGACAGGTTTGCTGCCGAAGACAAACATAACATTATATTATTTTATATTATTTATTAATGGCATAAGGTGGGAAAAAAATGAAAAAACATTAAGAATTTGAAAAAAAATTTATTTGATAATAATGTAATGATAATAAAATAGTGAAAATAATTTAAATAAATTATTTAAATTTAAATTTATAAATTTATTTAAATTTTATGTATATATATATTCTAAAATATTCTAAAATATATTATAGATGTTCTAAAATATTCCAAAAATAGCGTGAAAGTAACAGCAGAATAGAAATACAACCGCTGAAGATTCGAAATTTTTCTAAAATTTTGATAATTTTGAAATTTTGGATACTATTTTTAAAATACGCTAGGCCCTCCTAACTTTTCTGAAGTTTCATTAATGTTCAAACTCGGCATGCTTTTCGCCGTATTCCTCTACACCTCAACCATCTAAGACACCATCCATTAGTGCCATTATTTTAAATCTCTCTCTACAGTTTTACTGCTCTCAAATCCAGCTTAATGCCACTTTCTCACCGAACCACGTCAACCACGTCTTACGCTTTTGCTATAACTGTAATAAACAAAACTAACAATTCTAACACCAATAACGCAAATTATTTTATGCTTTTTATGCTTCTATCCACTCTGTACCCTTAAGAAAAAGTAGAACCATGATGAAATGCTACAGGAGCGACGTGAAAATTTGAGGTGCTTGGTGAAGATAGTGGTGTTTTACATTGATAATGGTATTTTGAGTGCCAAAACGGTGCATTATGGTTTGAAGGGATGCTAAGGAAATATGACGAAGGATACAACGAGGACCCGTGGATCCGTACCTTTTACTTACTTTTACTTAAGTGGAAAGGCTGAGATATAGTACTATCGCTCTCACAACCTAATGCTGCCTCGTTTTGGCGGGAAAATTTGATTTTATGCATTTGTACTATCCATGTCCTATGTTTCCCTCCTTTTCTCCTCGCCCTTCCCCTTTCCTCTTCCCCGTTTCCCTCTTCCTCTTTGTCCTTCTATCCTTCCCTTCGTCTTCGCCATCCGCATTTTTTTTTTCCTGCGGCTTGTTAATAATGATTTGCATGTTTTGCCACGTTTAAAAATTCTCTGTTTTTTGCTTGTCGGATAATTATTCGTCATAAAATTTTACAATTATTTATTTCTTTAAAATTGGTCTTTTATTAAATTACTATTACTATTTATTTTATTATAATTTATTACCGTTTTATTTTTTTCATTTTTCATTTTCTCTTCATAAAAATATTTTTAAGGTCTTTAAATATTTATAAATAAAATATTTGAATATTTTTATTGTGTAAAATATTTTTTTAAAAATAATCAAAAATAAAAAATATTTTTGTTTTTTTTTATGTGGAAGAATTTCTGAAACTTTCATATTAATTGTATTATTTAATTGATTAATTCATTAATTATACTAATTTTTTAAAATATTTTTCTTTTTTTGCTTTTGTCTATAATTTTTTCAATTTTCATAAGTAATTTTGTTCATTTATATTTTTTATTTCACATTTCGTTCTACTAAATAATTATTTTATGCAAAAAAATATTTTTAATGATGACAAAAAGAAAAATAAATTTGAATTTATTAATGAAAATTTTTATTTTTAAGAATCGAAATGAACCACACGAACGATAAAAGTGTAAGTAACACTGTTCAACAAAAATCTCAACAAGATGTTAGTTTCCATTTTTATCTTTTTTTTCCGAACCGTATTTCTCCGTATTAGGTTTGGTCCGCTGACTCGGAACCAGAGAGTTGCTTGGATGAGTAACCAGCATTTTTGAAAGGCAGGTTTACTCCTGATCGGAGCAGAACTCCAGCGTTGGAGCTCCGAAACGAGAACAAACAACCCAATGAGCCGTTCCACTTCTAATTTTGATATTCATTTATTGATATTTAATATTAATTAGCTTACATTACAGGCATTTTACTAAAATAATATTAAATAATATATTAAATAATGTATGTGAAATTTTAATAACTACATATTAAATTGAAAATTTCTTTCTAATAAATTTATTTTATTTCTTGATAAAAAAAAATTTTGGCACTGTTTGATCGCCAATTTACTTATTGATACAAATTCGGAAAAAACTACAAAAATTATCGTCATTTTATATTTGAATTCTTTATCAATTCATATAAAATCGTTTCTTTTTTAGATTCCTAGCGATTTAATCGTTACATCAACAAATCAAACAATTCTTATTCCACAATTTCAAGTCAGTTATTTTTTATTTCAAATTTTCAAATTGATCAAATCTTTTCGTATATTTTGATTTTGATTTATATTTTGACTTTTCTAAATAATTTTTATTTTATTTAATAAACAAAAAATTTTAATTGTAATTAAATTAGAAATAAGAGAAATAAATTAGAAAAAAATATTTAAAATGTTTTCAATGTCGATTATAAATTTTTGAAAATTTATTTAAAAATTAATAATTAAAAAAGTTTCTCAAAATTTTGTACAAAATTTCTGTATAAAAAAAAAATTTATTTATTAGAAGAATGGCATAACTTATTTTGGTGAAGCAGCTATTGAAAAACAACGAGAACAAGAAATGGATAGATGTATGTCAGCTCCATTTGTTAGTTAGCTGTTTGTTTATTTTTATTGTCTTCTAATATTTCATATCATTAGTAGTTTCCATTAATTCCACTAGTTATTAGGTAAAAATTTCTCCAAAGTGCTCATTTATTCTCTTAAATTATTATATTTTTTATTATTATTATCAAAAATTATATCTAAAGAAAAGAACTTATAGAAAGAAATATAGAAAAAAATACTGTATTTCATCCATCAAATTTTATTTTTTTTTTCAATAAAATTTAATTTTTCAAAATGATGATTTTTTGCAATAGTTTAAAATTTAAAATTTTATAGAAATAACAAGAAATAATTGAGAGGTCACCTTTTTTAACCTTCGATTTATCTTAATCTATTAATACAATAGCACAAAATCGGTTCATAGATAGAGCGAAATTGTTTTTAAAAAATTCTTGTGCTGATGCTTGTGGTGTGATGTTAGCAACCCGTTTATACTTTTAATGTAAAATGATGCTTTGGAAAAAATTTGTAAATGTACCAGTAGGTAATGAAACTAGCCGGAAAAAATGGAATATCGCTCTAATCATTTGATTTTACATTTTTTTTATCATTGGCCAACTGGGACAACATGCTTGAATTAGAAAAAAAATTATAATGTTGGAGAAAAATCATTTATAAAACGTTTATTATATATAAATGAAAAAGTATGAAATAATTTCCTCTTTTTTTTTCAAAAAATTCCATATCGAGAATAAAAATTTTCTTTCAATTCTTGTTCGAATCTTGATTTTGTGAATCCTTTTAAAACTAAGCTTTGAGCGATGTTTCGCAGATCTCATCAATAGGAATTTTTACCAGGAATTTATTAAGAATTAATAGCTGAAGAAGTCATGAATAATTATAATTTAATTTAGTTGTCCAGATGAATATGTGATTATTTTATATTTTAAGCCATCAAATCTGGCTGCGTTGAGATTTAAGCTTAATTACTTTGGAGTTATCCAGTTTAATGTAAAATTATAAGTGAATATTGGATTTTTATACTTCTTTATTTTATTTTTGCTTTATCCTTCTCTCTGTCATAATGATTCGAAGTTATAAAATTCTCAAATTTTGCAAATCATTGGTGCATTTAGAAATGAAGCGACAGAAGAAAATATATTAATTTAATTCATGCATTCGGTTTATAGTACATCGGGAATAATAAAGTATTATTTTAATAAGAAGTAAATTAAATAAGGAAAGGGAATTTCTATTTTTATATGGCACAATTATCAATAATTTACAAGATTTTTTAACTGCAGCTTCCACCATTTCTACTGTTGATCAAAATTAAGAAAATATGCTTTCTTTTACCGTTTATATAGGATAGTGTTACTCAATGAAAAATCCACAAAATTTCTAATTTTTGGATTTCAGCCACAAATTTCTGTTTCGCCTTTTCCTTTCACAGAAATTAACAATTGTCCTTTTATTACTCCAGCAATATTCAACAATATTACTGAAAATAGACAACAGGTTCATCTTTCATTTTTGATGTTTAATTGAATGTTTGATGACGTATATAGCTTACAGCCATTACCAGCCTCGAAAACGATTAGAAAATGTTTCTTTCTTCTTTACACATCATTTTCTCCTTGATTGGTTCCGTCTTTAATTGTGGTGCGAATATTTATATAGGTTATTAGTGGATAGAATCTGTTTTATAACAGCCACCTGAATCAGTTCGATATTGCCTAAATATAGCGTGAATAAACACAATTAACTAGTTTAATTATTTGATATTTTACCATTTTGGTTTCAGTTTTTAGATTAGATTGTTGCTGAATGCTATATGTAAATATATACAATAAAGAAATAAACAAGAAAGAATATAAGTTTTCTGAGAAATTCTTTTACTTGTTAGACATTTATTTCGCATTTCAGCAATATCAAATGGCTATATCATTTATACAGCCAGCGTCAATATTTTGTAAAATACAACCAACCATCTTACTTCATCCATCCGTAATTTTGTTTTTCCAATCATTTTAATTTTAAAGTGATCATTTTTTCTTAAATTATTTAGAACTGCACCACTTTAAAACTAATAATAATTAGAGGGCTCCAAAAAAATGTTTCTTTTCTCATTAAGGAAATTTAGGATATATATTGCGTTCCTATGTTCGGCTCAAATGATCAAATAATTGCAGTCGATCCAAGAAACTCGTGTTTTTTTATTTCACATCAATTATGTTGCCATTCGCTATTTACTAGTCCTATTGCTTGATTTCTTTTTCCTTTTTTTAAAATTTTGAAAAACTAGCCTTAGGCGAAGAATTCAGTACAGTAAATACTTATATAAATACTTTACTTTTATTTATTTATTTCTGAATGCTTTAAACCAGAATATATGGTCATATGCTTCTTCAAATGAGATTAAACCATATGGATTTTATTCTTATCACTAAAATATATAAAAATATTAAATTAAATATTTGTTTATCTAGGTATGCAGCCAACCCTGAATGGCAATGAACCAAATTATCATTTTCCACCAATTGCCAGTAATATATCTCAGAATGTATCCTTAATGCCTAAAAATTCTCCTCGTTTCTGCACTGAGATAGACTACAATCCTCGCATAACTTCGCAGATTACTTCTTCATCCCACAATAATCAAGCGCTTTACCCATCGTCGGCTGAGGTTTTATCACAGAATTTGCAATTATTTTATTTTTTTGCTTTATTATAATATATTGAATTTTTTCTGCGAATTTCTTCAGATTCCACCTCCATTATCACTGTTTCCAATGTTTGAGCCATGCACTATTAATGAAACCATCAGAATGCCTTGCAATAATTCTTCTAATAGTTACTTTTCCACATCAGCCATTCCACATCAATATGATGCGTCGTGCATGCAAGTAAGTTTTTTCATTTTGATGAGGCTGTTATATTAAAATAAGCCTAAATGAAGATTTTATTTTAATTTTTTTCAATGGATTTTAAACATATTAACCACAAAATAGACCACAAAAAATAAAAAACTTCTCATGAATGCTTTATTTTATCTTTATTTTTTTCAGTTTCGGAACAATCAAAAACAATCATCAAAAATTCCTATGTCAACCTCGCATAGCAAAATATCAACCATTCGGATCACACCGTGCACCGTTGTAGATTTTTTTTCTTCTCTCAGCAATATACATCATTCCCATTTTGGCAGGTTCCACTGGCTATTAGGCTGCAGTTAGATGACACTTGATGATAGAAATTGAGTTGGGCGATTCAGTTTTCACTTTTAATAATAGGATTACTTCTGTCATAGCCAAAAAAATTTTATTGAATTTAAGTAATTGAAATACCAAATAAATAGTTGAAATATAAAATATAATATAGTGATTCAAATTTAGAATCGAACGAATCTTATTTCTCTTACATCTACTCCTCCAAATGATCCTCTCATACGGAAAAAACAACCTATATTATTAGCTCGTAAAAATGCTCCCGATGTTCAAGTATTCTTTTGATTCATCATTTTGTTGCAAATTTCGGTCAAATTTAGCAGTATTAAATTCGATTTCTAAACATAACATCTTTGATTAATTTTTTAAGATATAGTTGATATAAATTTCATTCACATCTTTTCTATATTCTATTAATATGTGCTAGTAACTTGCAATATTCACTTTCTAATAACATATGGTTTATTTATAGCTTTTCGGTATTTTTAGAATCTAGAGAACAATTTTGTTTCGTGTATGCCATCAAATGATCCTTTTAAACCAGAGCAAGAACCTACTTCGCTGATAGATACAAATTGCTCATACACTTTGGTATATTTTCTGTTTTCATAACTATTCTACGAATCATATTAAATGTAACAAATTTTTAATGGTGCCATTTTGTATAGGTGGCAAATGATTTTAGATGGCTGCAGGAAAGCCTGCAAATATATCTTCAAGTATCAATTGCGAAAGAATTATCTAAATGCCTATAGCTCTTCTAGCGGTACGAATCCATGGTAACAAAAAAAAATTGATATAAAAAAAATGGCTTTCTAAGTAATCTTTTTCGTTTTCATAATTTCTTGATGATTGCACTTATAAATTTATAGGATGGTTCCGTTTTCCCTCCACCTCTTGAATTTCCATTGTCGGCCAATGTGGTGATTCCAGATGAACCTGCAATAAATAAATCAAGTGATGATAAAGGACAGAACCAAACATCAGCCACTATTTCTTCTATGAACCATGAAGAACAGTCGATTGAAAATGTCGCAAATATAGAAAATTATATTTTCGTAACTTTTATAAGATTTTTTTTCCAGAATTTCTAAAATTTCGAGAAATATTATTGAGAAAGTTTCTTAGCTTGGCTTTACTTTGAAAAATTTGAGGTTCTAAAAAGTACTTCATGAAAAAATTTATTTTATCAGAATTTCTTTTTTTCTTACTCATCTATCAACATTTCATTGATCTGAATAAATTTTGTTTAGGCTCAAGAAAAGTTAGTAAATTCTATGCGAAAACTAAATGTTCAAAGGTGTAATTCATATAAAAGAATTCGTTTTAATTCAGAAAATCTGACAGGTGAATAGTAATTTCCGAAAACTGCTTCTATTCTTAATTTTTTTTACAAAAAAATATTTGATTCAGCTTTATAATATTTTGTGCGTCATTAATTCAATTTAGGATGGGCAAAAATATTATTACTAATCTGAATGAGTGGTTCTTTTCAAGAATCATTCTTTGATGAAAGGTTAATCTAAACGCCCTCACTTTAAGAATTAGCCATATTAATAATCATGGTAAATGCTGGCTGTGGTTAATATAAATTTTTTTTAAAATAATTTTGCGAAAAAAATGATTTGATGAACACAATATATTAAGAAATCACTCGGGCCTTACTAAGTTAATTCCATTTGTTTTTTTATTAAATCTTCATTTTTCCGCTATTAATCTTTTATAGTTAAATATGGCAATATGAATCGCCAAAATACCAGCAAATGTGAATGTGGAAATGACATGGTGCAAAGACATTTTAATATCGTTGAATGCGCATATTGTAGGCATTTAAACATGCCGCCTGAGATTTACAAATCACATAGGTCGAATTCTTCTTTTTTGCTAAATCTTCAGTTTATTAGTTTATAGCATATGCAGAAATACTATGGCTTCATATAATAACTTTTTTCCTTACTTATTTTTCTGATTCGATAGAAAAATTGCTGTATCATAAATCCTAATTATTATAAAGATTATTACAGTATGCGCAACTCTCAAAACGGAAAAACGATTTGTCCAAATTTGCGCCGATTTACATGTACCATTTGTAAAAAAACTGGAGATGAAGCACATTCACCATATTTTTGCCCCGAGCGAAGTATTATTTTATTGGCACATAAATTTAAGAAATTAAAATATGTATTGTAATGTAAAAGAGCTATTAATTAATGCAATATTTATCCAAACGTTCATTTCGTTTCGTATTTATAAATATTTAATTATAGGCATCCAGTGATCTTATGGAATTCAATAATTAAGCGGTAATTTTTCTTTCTTTGTAAAAGTGAAATGGCTAAAAAACTTTAAATCTAGTCAAAGAAAGAAGTCGTTTAACTGATTCCAGTAATATTCCAGTAGTTCTACTTTCCCTTATTTCTGTTTTATTTATCTATATTATATATTAAAGTCAAAATTTTAGAATTGTGATTTTCATTTTTTTTTTCGTTATTAAAATTTTTTTCCGTTTTTCATTATTTTTTTTGATCATCTTTATTCTTCATTATTTTTTTAAAAGTAATGAGTGCCATATTATTGAATTATTTTCATGTATTTTTTCTCATGCCATGGCATTTGCAAGGAATTGCGAAGAAACCCTTTTTATTTGAAAGAAATTTGAATTATGCATTTTTTCATTGAGATACTAAAAATTGAGGAACTCAAAAAAACACTGGTAAGCTGGCATATACTTTTATCCTGTGAAGGTACTTAAATATCTTAGTGGCTTTTCTCGTGGGATTGGATTTTTTGTGGGAATATATAGAGATAAGAAAGTAAACTAAACTATATCTATAAAGTTTTTATAATAAAATTATTTTATATAAAAAAGAAAAAATTGTAATCGAGCTGAAATCCTCTTTTATTACTCATCATTAATATCATCAATGGTTGCTTCCTGAAATAAGTTGAATATTTTCGCAAAATCTGTGAGTTCTCAATAAGTTTATAAATTCCGCGAGAAAAATTAAAGGATTCGACTAGCCTGATATTGCTGATATTCCGAGATAAGATCACCCATATTGCTTTCGGCTTCGGTAAATTCCATTTCATCCATTCCTTCATTTGTGTACCAATGAAGGAAAGCTTTACGCCGAAACATCGCTAAATAAAATTTCTACATAAAAGGTGCTGCACTCAAAAAGATTGTGTTTAGATATTCGATAAAATTTTACATAATATTAAAATGATTACTGAATGTAATTTGTACAAAAACTAAGCGACCTGAAATTTCTGAAATAACTATAAGTCATAAGGATTACTAAGGATTCACTTTTTACCACTGCATTCAAATAGCACTCTGGTGATAGGATTTCACCTTAGTAATTATTGGAATCAGCCAAACCAGGAATGGTATTTGCCATTAGAAGGAGAGGAAGGAAAGAATCTGATGTCCGCGATTCCTAAAATGACATTAGAACTAAGAATGATAGAATGATGGAATGAACGATATTAGACTAATAAGAATATTTTCATATTCTTTTAGATAAGATATTTTTATAAATATATTTCTAACCTATAAATTGCTCTGATATACGTTTAAATAATTCCTGAATTGCGGTTGAATTGCCAAGGAATGTTGCAGCCATTTTAAGTCCTCTTGGAGGAATATCACAGACCGCCGTTTTCACATTATTTGGAATCCAATCAACGAAATACGCCGAATTTTTATTTTGAATATTAAACATTTGCTCATCAACTTCCTTAATCTTATTTCATAAGAAACTTTTGGATAACTTTTGGATTTTGGATGATGAATTTTTTTTCGATCTTCGGTGAAAAGATGCAAATACCTTCATGGACATTCGTCCACGAAATATTGCAGCAGCTGTAAGATAACGACCGCGTCTCGGATCACATGCAGCCATCATATTCTTTGCATCAAACATTTGCTGCGTTAATTCTACTACAGTTACAGCTCGAAATGATTGATTACCTAAATTTTTTTTTTCTAAGCTTCTGATAGGTTTCTTCCACTGCTCTGTCGGAGTGCAAGTGGGCTGCTATTCGAATTTTTGTAAAATATGTTTACTACTGCACAAGTAAAAGATAAATTATGACTAATTAGATTGTGGCTAATGGAAATTCTTAATCTTACTTTCACGTATACATGTTCATGATTGTTATGGCTATTGAAATGCAGCCATTATGATTCAAAAGCTTTATGATCAAAAGGGACCATGTTTAACGAGAACAAACATGTCACGAAATTCAGCTTGGTATTGAAGACCTATCTGTTCTTCAAGCACCACTCTGGGAGATGGGTCTCACTAAAGTTTAAGAGAAGAAGCGATCTGGATGGGTAACAACTGATAAATAATAAACAAAAATAATTAGTGATAAATAATTAATAAAAATAAAAATAATTTTGTTAATATGCGATAAAACTTACTACGAGAAATTAGTGGAGCAAATCCAGGCATGAAGAAGTGGAGTCGGGGAAAGGGAACCATGTTAACGAGAAGTTTACGCAAATCAGCGTTTAGCTAAAAAGGCAGAAATTTACGAAATTTATAAATTTTTAATTTATTCTTAAACTTAATACTATCGAATAATATTCAGTCTACCTTCATTATTAATATAAATATCCCTTTAGAAAATTTCCACGTTTACCTGACCGGGGAACCGTAAGCACGTGGTCACACCACTCATTGTTGCGCTCACAAGGTGGTTTAAATCACCATAAGTTGGCGTTGTCAATTTCAGCGTTCTGAACAAATCATTATTTATACATTATTCTCATATCTTATCCTATGGACAGAATTACCTTCAAACTTTTACACGCTTTTTGCTTGAACTGAATGGGCCATGTTCTCGTCTATCACAAGATTTACTTCTTCTTTTACAGCTTTCACCATTACTAGTTAGGCTGGCTCCAACGGCTGCGAGGGTAAAACGCTTCCAAGCGGCGCGATTTTATGCCATCGTCAACAGTAATAGTAGCCATTCTTTTTTCCATCGTCTAAGTGCTGGTCCACCTATCTTCTTTTCTAACCGTATCAGTCCAGGTTTTAATTGGTCCATCTCGCTTTTGATGCCTCCGAACACAGGGTTTAGCAAATAATGAAATAAGTGTCAACCCTTGTGAGACGAAGAACTTGCCCTAACCAGCGAAGATAGCACTGTTAATGCAAATGGTATTAAAACGAAGGTAGATGAGATTTTATCCACTCGGCGAACTCGTAAAATGTGCCTTAGACATTAGTGGTCAAAGGCAGATAATTTCTTAATATCCTTCACTCGCATCGGCCATGTCTCAGAGCCATATAGCAAGATCGAACGAATTACGGCCGGCCATATAGATGCGGACTTTCGTTTTAATGGTAATTTCACGACGACTCCATAAAGGTTTCGTCAACCGGAAAAACGCAGTTCTAGCTGCCGTGATCAGAGTTATAATATCATCTTTTGCCTGGCCATTTGGTATTAGAGTGGACCAGGTAAAATCGGGCAATGAATTTACTTCTGGCTAAACATGTGATAGATGGCGTCAAAATTGAGGAGGAAGAATCAAAACTTGGACTGTCAGAAGAATTCATAGGTGGTCTCGATATATTTAGATGGTGGAAAAAGAAGTGGCTTCAGTTGTTTTCAAGAAAGGCACCGAATTAGGAGGTCTTATCCTAAATGCGAGTGGAGCTAGTCAAACCAGCAAGAGTATAATTTATTAAAGGAGAAGAATAGCGCTCCTTGATACATTTTCAAAATTTGCTGCATTCCCTCAATACTCGTGATACACAATCCTTTGCCAGTGAAGCAAGAAGTGGCAATGGGTTTCCTCCATCTAAATCGTTTCCACTGTTTCTTGCTTCACGCAGAATATGCATTGCATGGCTATCTTTAACAGGGCATAACGGCTATCAGGAAGATAGAGTTTGGAAAGTTTGGAGGCTTACACGAGGTCAAACAAAACAAAAGCTCTTGGAGGGTTTTCGAGGCGAAAAATTCAGGAACCAATACATTAAGCAAAGAAATATGTATTAAAACCTATAGCTATTGAATACTGTAAGATTTATTGTCTTGTTTTATTGTCTTTATGGAAAATAGCATTTTGTTTTTCAGATGGCATTTTACTATATTTAGAGCATTTCCTCGAACGAAATCCGTCACCTGAAGCAAATATCATATAGAGCTTCATTATCGATGCAAAAAGTTTCATCCGTATTTTCGACCAATTGATGAACGGAGAGCGTCGCATTGTATGGCTCGACAACAGTATCGGATACCTACAACCATGATTATAGTGAGGAAAAAGCTAAAGCATGTTGCTCTATACTGGATAATCATCCATTTATTACTGTAATAAATAAATCTAAATTTTTCCTAATAACAAATCTCAGGTGAGAATAATGAAAATCAAACCTTAGGTGAGGGAACGACTGAAAATGATGCCACGACTCGATCAGGAAATTCTTCGCGAACTTTTGCGATTAAAAGTGTCCCCATTCCAGACCCGGTGCCACCTCCTAAAGACTGCGTGAATTGAAAACCCTAGAAAAATTTTTTAAATAGTTCTGAAAATTATTTGCAAAAAATAAAGCAGTAAAAATTGAAATAAAGAAATAAGCAAGATAGTGTGACATACCTTACCTGTAAACATTCACAAGTTTCAGTTTCTTTTCGTATGATATCGAGAACATTATCGACAAGTTCAGCACCTTCTGTATAATGACCTTTTGCCCAGTTATTTCCCGTACCATTTTGACCTATAAAAATTTGAGAACCAAGTCTTATTCCTTATCTCTAAATTGTATTACGATTTGATTATCTTGGTGTTATTTTATTATTAATTGTGTAAATTCAGTTAAATTCAATTTATTGTTGATTCCATAAAATTAAATGAAAAAAAATTTTCTCACCATAAACATAATTGTCGGGACGAAATAGCTGGCCCAATATGCCCATTCTAATACTGTCCATTGTACCTGGTTCAAGGTCCACCAATATTGCTCTAGGCATTGGACAATTAGATAATTAAAATTTCACCTATTATCAAACTAACCAAATTAACTTATGATCATTTTTGATCAGGCTGATTTTAAGTTTATTATTTGATACTAACTTATTGGCTCTAGAAAATAATCCTATATGAGATGCACGAAAAATGCGCACCTTGGCACATATCTTTGCTGCACTTCGTTGTAATAAACGTTCACTCTTTCAATTTGCAGGTCGCTATCTCCTTTATATGCTCCACTTGCATCAATACCATGTTCATCTGATATTACTTCCCAAAACTAAATGAAATTATCATGTTAATATAATCATTATTTATCTTACTTATTTGCGTCTATCAAAGCAACAATTTTCTCAAAGCTATTGTTGCTCATTATTCTCCTTGCTTCATAATGGGTATGATTCTCTGGTATTTGATTAATCCACGAAATATAGCCAGTGCGAGTAAATCAGGAAATTACCTTTTCCACGTGCGATATATGCGATTAATAATTCTATCACTGGCCATATTACTGTTTTCTAGCGTTTCGTCTCCTCTGCTGAAGTCCTTCCTATTCCTATTATGGGAATTGACCAAGCATACTAATTAGCTAATTGGCTATAAGTCTTGTGAAAAAAGGCATTAAAAGCTTGGAACTGTTGGCAGGCAGATTTTGAAGACAAAATAGCCCAGCAATATTTAGATGATGGAAAAAGGAGTGGCTTTATTCAATTTCAGAAATTGTGCTTTAAATATGTGACCAAGTTTTTCATTGCGGATCGCTTTATTCCTTGAGAGAAAACCAGTCACTAAAAGTGAGTTTTAGAGTGAGGCTCATCCTGATGATCAGTGGAACCATCTAAGCCAGTGATATTCATGCTTCTAATTTGAGAAAACTTCGTTTCATTTGTGCAGTTATTTGTAAATTAATAATTCAAAACCATTCAAAGTTAGTGAGCCAAATTGACAACTTTGTTGAAATCTTAGGAAATAAAAAATTTTAAACCTTGGATCCAATTTGATTTCCACATTGTCCCACTTGAATATGAACAATCTCACGCATTACTAATATTTTAACTTACTTGTTCAACAATGAATGGTCGCCAAAAGCCAAGAAAATAGATAGATATAGATATATAGATATATAACTGAGGATCTGTTAAAGAATTATACCAAGCAAAAGAATCAGCGAAAGAAACGATAAATAGTATAATCCGAGTATAATCCAGAGAGGAGCACTGTGCAAATCATTATTTTGGAAATTTATTCATAATGCAAAAGGTCATAACTAGTAAAACAAATGGCCGAGTAAGAATGGGCGATATTAATGCAAATTGGCGAAGGCGAAACATTTCGAAAGCCTATCCGCTCTGTTAAGCGGGTGTCTTAGGCAAAATCAAAAATAGATTGGCTTCCACTTTCTCACATTTCATATTGCGAACACTGCAGTGGCGTAGATTCGAGGCCATTCCACAGAGATTTGAGAAACGAAGAATGTCATTTTGTTATCAGACTGAATTCAAGACATTTAAATGTTTTTAGTACTTCTTCAACCAGTGATAAACTGATAAAAATAGGGATTTTATTAGGTTTATAAAAAAATTTAAAAAAACTTTCTACTCGCTTAGACCTATATGGGTTAAAAACGAGGAAGACTAATCAAGATCTGAATTGATGCAGGTGAGATTTTCGATGCATAGGCTTCAATATATGGATAATATATTAATATATATGGATCGATGCTGTGGAAAAAAGAATTGCTTTTAAATATAGCAGCGGACTTGGAAACCTCTCACCACCTTTCATCATTAAACCAGTAATAGCGTGAGAAAGAAGAATTAGATAAAACAATAAATAAAAATAATAAAAATAAGATTATCAAAATAATCAGAAAGACTTTCTTTATCGTCCTTATCAGACTTTTCAGAGCCTTTAGCATTTCTCAATAGTTCGATTTCTTTCATCCGATTAGTTCACAAATGCCCTATTATCTCACAAAAAGGGGAAAATTTCGATATTTGAACATTTTATTTCAATTGTCACCAACGATATGTCTGTCTTATTGCTTCAATAATTACTTGCGAATGCCTGGAACGAAAGCGATTTTTCCTCATTTCGCATTCATGGAATATTCTAAGATATGTTCTTCATGTTACTAAGTATTCAATATTAACAATTCATTGGAATTGTCTTTTATTTTCAATTCCATTCTTATATTATCAATAATTTTTAGTTCCAGCAATGCTGGTCTTTTTCATAGCTATGGTGCGCACAGAACCTGATAATGTTCCACAAATCCTTCCAGGTGAGGCAGCCGAACCTGATGACATGCAAACTTTCGTGGCCAACGAAGCGAGCCAGGAATATTTAGCAAAAAAGAAGTGAATTAGCAAATCATATTCTTGATTATGCGTGCATTTGCAACGATACAACTGCACACCGTGCAACAATAAAAGCACAAAAGGGTGACACAAGTGGTGTAAAATGGTGTAATAATGGCACAGTATTTCCTTATATTTATTACTGTTAATATTTAATATTAAAATATTTTTTCTAATATTGTGCTGCAAAATAAAAATAATTTCTGAAAACGACTGTTTATAAACGGTAATTTCATTAGTGGTCGAATTTTTTTTATTCCAAGACAAAGATAATGGATGTGAAGGACGAGGATTCGCTCGAGCTTGTAAGTTTCGAATGTTTGTGTGCACCGGGTTCTAGGGAGAAAGGGGTTGGCTATTTTGGAATATTTAAAGGGACTGATGGGTGCCAATAAAGTCAAAAAAGGGGGTGCTTGGAGCAGATGGAAAAAAAAATATTATGAGTTAGATGAAAAAAGATTAATGGTATTTTGTTATTTTTTTTTAGCTCATAAATGTCGATCTGAATAGATTATTAATAAAAGTACTAAAATACTTTTTGAATAATCTCGAAATAGAATTAAAAGTATTCGAATTTGTTAAAATTTTCTTTTAAACTTTTTTGTGATTGATTTCTAATGGAAAATTCTGCAATGAAATTTATTACTACCTTTGTTATTATAAAAAGTGTAATAGCAAAAAATAAATAAAAATAATTTAGAATTTAGTTTATTAACATCTTTTTTTTGTGAAGGCTGAATTATAGGATATTATTTAATATTTATTTCATTATTTAAAAAAAAAACCAAGTAAAGTTGTTGACCAGCTGTTGGTTGATTTTGAAAGCAACACAGAAAAGGCAGTAGGAGAACGCGTATTGCTAAATATAGGCTAATTTAATGCAATAAATTATAAACATTCAGAAAAGCATAAAAATATCAGATTGTTCCGTTTCAACGAAAATCTTTTTCTCTGTCGGTCGTTTAACCCTTATTTTATAACAATTATGCGATATTCTCAATAATATTGTCTAAGAAGAAATAAGTTTTCAACTTATTAGGAAGTAACTTCAGACCACTGGATTTATTGCGTTTAAACTCATCTCATATTGAAAATTCCTCATAAAGAATTTTAACTTGTTCGCGAAAAAATAATGAATGGTTCCTTTAGAGAAATGAATGTAAAAATGGAAAGAAGAGAAGACGGCAAATTGTGAATTTATTCAAAAAAATATCTCTTATATATTTTTTAAATTATTTAATATGAAAACTTTAATATATATTTATTTTTAAAGACGTTTATTTTATTTATTTATTTATATATTTATTTATATAAGATTTATTTATTTTTTTTAGATAAACGAAAATATAATTGAAACAGCACTGGAATGTGGTGCAGATTTACGGCAGTACTCGATCGTTTTAAAAGAGAAACTGGATAAAGCTCATCAATTTGCTGTGCAAGATTGTATTGAACAAGCCGACAAACTTGCTTTATTATACACGGAAATCTCCGCTTGTGATGATGCATTCGCTGTGAGTTATTTTGTCTATCCTTTAAAGTTTTTATCTGTATAAAATTAGCATAGCAGCATAGTTGCTAGGTTAAAGGATAACGAATTTCCTTAAGATCTTTTAATCACTAGTGAAAAATTTTTGTTAAAAATAATAGAAAGAAAATGTTACCATCCGCTGTTTTTTTTTGATCGTTATAATTACAACCACTTTTTAATCATTTGGTTACAGAATTTAGAAGAGATGTTAACATGCTTTCAATCAGAACTGGGTACAGTCAGTTCAGATATGAAACGATTGCAGCAGCAATCAATCGACATAAGTTTGCAGTTGCAAAACAACCAAAAGGTGCGTGGTGAACTCAGCCAGTTCGTCGATGATATGGTTGTTCCTGTTAATATGATTAAGTTTGTATTCTTAAAATACTGACAGAAATTCACACCTTACAGTTGAGCAAGGTTCAAACTCTTGCTAATGAAAGCTCAAAATTTATTACGTTTCTTCACTTTCATTACTTTTTTATTTTACATTTTCCAAACTCTATAATTTTCCCCCAACGTTCTCCAATTTCTTATGTAGAAAATTTTCTTCCCTTCTTGCTCCCAATCTCTTTTTTGCCGCCTTTCACAATTTTGAAATTTGCTCCTTAAAAAAAATATGATAATGGTAGGTAGTGTTACAAAGACCTAGTTCTAAGAGAGGTAGATAAAGGAGTTAGAATGGTATTATAAATTAACCAGGAAAAAAAACACAACTGCTATGTAGATGTTATAAAAAGACATTTTAAGAAGTTCGGGTTTTGTTTTCAAACAGGCTTACTCCAGAAATAGAATCCGAGCATCGACGTTCTTGATTGGGCAAACGTCAACTGAGCTTTGTTCTCCTTTGTTTTTCTCCCTTAGGCGACACTGCGACTCAACGAATCCGAAGGGTGGTGCGTCTATAGATTCCTACCCAAGCCTCAAATCTCAGCGGCATTTATTTTGCCACTGAGCCACTGACTCAGTTCATAAAGCATTATGTGATAGTCGATCAACTTTTTAACTTTTTATTTTATTAAAGATTTTCGCTGGTTTGTTTCAGCACAATATTAAATAGTGATGTTGGTGAGCGAGATTTTCTGGAGCAGTTGCACGAGTTACAACATAAACTGCAATTTTTGAAAGCTCAAGAATTCAAAGATGCAAAAGCAGTCGTAGATGTGCAAGATGTTATTGAAAATTTGAAATATAAGGTTCATTTTTTTAATGTTTGTTGTTATTTAATCACAAATTTGTTTTTAGCAAATTTAAGTTTAATGGTAATAAGAGAAAAGTGTTAAATTGATGAAATATTTAGTTGGTTATCTACTGATAAATAGTTTAATTCTTTAACAATGGTTAAAATTTGCAGGCCATGGCGAAAATTCGTGAATGGATACTATTAAAAATTTCTTCTTTCAAAAAACCACTTACCAATTATCAGATCCCTCAAGGAGCACTTTTGAAAAACCGGTAATTTCTTAAGAGCAAAAATTTTGTTATAAATTTGTTATAAATTTTGTATAAATGTTTGTTATAAATTTTTAATTTATCATTTTATATCATTTCATTTTATCATTTTGATTTAATTTAATCTATTTTATTACATTTTATTTTATACATTTCGTATTTTTAGTTATACTGTAATTATTACGAGTATCTGCTTTGAATTTTTCTTCTTTGAATTCGAATTTTGCATGTTTTTGTTCATTTAAGGCATTCTTTATTGTCACATTTGGCATGAGAACATATGTTCTTCTTCTTTTACCAGTTTCTACTTTGATTAAGCCGATCCCTGTGGCTATAAGGATGACATGTTTCTAAGCCTCTCGATCTAATTCAATAGCCGAAAACAATAAGGGTCACTCTTTTTGATTTAAACCATATATCGCTAAGCTTTTTTTTCAGCTTCTTTTTTTTCCTGATTTATTCCAATTATTGGACATTTTCATTTTTTTCTATTTTATCATTACAATTTTATCATTACAATATCTTTTTATTTGCTTGATATAAATGTATGCGTTTGAGTTTGAATTTTAGTAGCTAACAGTTATTTTGTCGGTATTTTAATATCCTAATCCATCTTTAATAATGATTCTCATATATTGTATAACATTTGATTTGGTTATATTGAAGTCTTCTAAAATGCATGAAATGGAAAAGTTATGACTTTTTTGCATAATCTGTTTTATATAACAAGTGTATTCCGAGTTTATATAACAATGCAATTTAAGGTTTTTCTACGAATTTCTTTTATCAAATGATCAACATATCGCTCGTGAGGTCGGTTTTTTGGATTTATCTTATATAGTTAATATAGGCTTTAAGGACGAGGTGGTGGAATATTGTGTTCTTTCAAATGCGTCAATTCACAAGTTCCTTTCCTACCCATGAATGGGAATAAAACTATCATTAAAAGCGAAATCTGGGTGATGTTGACGTTTTCCTGTGCTCTTTTCTATCATTCTAGTTGCAAAAAAATAGCCAAGCTGGAAATTATGGGTATATTTAGAAGAAACTTCATGTGTTTTATTTGTATATGGTGGTGTACCAACGTTTTTATTTTTTTAAAAACTCACGTCGCTAATTAATTTGACTGGCTATACTGGTGATTGTTTTTGTTATTGTGATAAATTGATAAAATAAATTTATCTTTTCATGAAATATGTGAAACTCCTCTTCTAACTTCACTCACTAATTTAGATAACGATTTCACCAGTGCTTAAAAGAATTTTTTTTTAAATTTTATTCTGTATGTTTTTTAGATTCGTGATGAATATATCGATACAACAAGTAAAATGCTCTTTACTTATTTCAAATCTTATGCTTCGAGGCTTTTCAAATTGCAGGTATTTTTTTAGGTGACTTCTTATTCAATTCCTTTTTAATTATTGGATTATTTTGTTCAGTTACTTACATTAAATTATAGTTAGCTGATGCTGCTTCTAAAGATGATCTTCTCGGTGCAGAAGATACGATTAAAACTGGTCGATTCTTCACTGCCAAACCAATGGTAGGCTTTGCTCTATTTTTTATGGATTTTTTTGCTTGCCAATATTTTACTTTTTTACTATTTTAGCTGAGGAATAGAGCTACTGTTTTCTCATTGGGAACTAGGGATTCTTTACTGTCCATGGATTTAATGGCTCCATTGATTGTACCTCATGTTGCTATGCAGTCTAATCAAAAGGTTATTGTTAGAAGTTATCTTTGAAATAAGTTTCTTCTTTCTTTAGAAATTTACCCCAAGTAGGTGAAATTAAGTTGTTTTGTTTTCTGAAATCCTCAAGAATATTGAATTTTACCTATTTTTCATTCAAATTCAGTGAAAAAATAAGTTCAGTTGTCCGAAAGATAGATCATTTGAAAAGAAAATCTATGTGAACCATGTTTATTCCATTAATTATTTAGTTTAATAATGAAATTTTTGAATCTGAATTTTTATTTCGATTCGGTTTCAAGTTTCAATTCGAAAACCTCTATCGGAGTCTACAATTCGCTTTGGTTGACCACTCATCACATGAATTCATCTTTTTATGTGACTATTTTTTGGTCAGTGGTAGAACTGCTGTCGAATTTTTCAATCAAATCATGATGCGTTCTATCACAGTTCTTTTGGTGAGTTTAATCCATTATTATCTAGTTGAATTCCTGGTTTACTGTGTGAGATCTAATCAAATCTATGAGTAAACCGAAAAGATGTGATGAAAAAGAATATAGCCTTTGCGTTTGATACATACTGGTTCTCTACAGATATTCCCTTTAGAAAATATGTGAAGAACATACGGCTACCAACTATGATGCAATTTCCCTATATTTATGCTTATGTCTTTGTTCGAAATATAAGGAATTGATGGTTGAACGCGAAATTCCAACCATTGCAGAGTTAGTACCACCCTTTGATTTTGATTGGATTGTAGGGAACCATTTATCTATTGATATTTTCAAAAGGTAAAGAATTTTCAGATATTGGGATACATTGACTCGCATATTATGGCAGCGATTTGAAGTTGTGATGCAGTTGCATGATGAAAGTGTACGTGCAGTAGACATAAAAAAATTGCAACCACCTCCTGATATCCGACCACATTATGTTTGTTTTTATCAAATTTTTCATTTTATTCTCTCCATACTTTTTCGAATTCACAGTTCAGTAGTGCAGCGAACCTCTATTAGCTGAAAAACTGTAATATATTTCATGTTTCCAAGTCATTACATATAAATGCAAGTGGATCATGAGCCTGTGTTTATTGATTTTAAATAAAAAACAAGAATGAAGAAATGAAAATAGATAATTTAAATTATGGAAGCGTAATAGTGGTTGAGTAATCCAGAAATCCATCTTCACAGTGCCATGGATTTGATTCCTATTTTTTGATGAAGATGGATACTGAAGGTTTACTATTACTTCTATTTCTTACTTCTATATGAGTCTCTGGCGATAGGATCTCTTTCTATTAGTCAGCTAAGCCAGAAATGATATTTTTAGAATAAGAAAAAGGTTAGATTTTTATAAATCTAATAACACCTCATTACTGTGGTTGATTTCCATTGCAACTAGGATATTAATTCCTTAGTAGAAAAGGATTTGGATAGATGTGCAAGTGGATCCACAGCACTAATAGCAGTGACAGCAATTATTAGCTATTATTTTTGGTTAACAGTTAAATTTTGTTTTTTAACTTACAGATCATCAGACGTTATGCAGAATTCACATGTGCACTTTTAATTTGTTGTCATATCTCAAAGAAACATATTGAAAACAAACTGCAGGTCTATATTTTATAATATTTATTTTATATTCCTTATATAAGGTTTCATAAAATCAGTAATAATTATTAAAAGGTCTTTTTCGTTCTTTAAGTCTTAATTGAATTTCAGCGATATCTAAGCAAGCAACAATCTATAATTGAAGATTTTCTTAATCGATTAGCATCTCAAATGAATACTGCCGTAGACCGAATCGTTTGCTTAATAAATAATTATGATTTAATTTTAAGCATTCTTGAGGTAAGAAATTTCTCAATTTTTAGAAAATTTTTTCGTAAAATTAATTAAAGCATTCACTGAATTGATTATTTATATTAATATAATTTAATATAATTTTGATTTTTTTGCATATTACAATTTTTATATGATTGGTTTTCATGTATATTTAGGAGCGAATAAATTTTGAGTCTAAGGAAAAATTGTCGTTTTGGGAGTTGCAGCAAAACTGTATCATTGAATATGTTGTTTTAATGTTAAAACCACATTTCGGAGATCTAATAAATTTTGTTGTGGAATGTGAACCACTTATAGAACAAGGCCATACACAATTGTTGCTACGACATTCAAGTAAATTTTTTTATTGTTTATTTCTGTTAACAGTTGTTCTTTGAAAATCGTTTTCCTGAGTATCTCTGTGAAACATAAAGACGTTAGTTTGCACATAGAATATGAAACCTTATAATAGGGTACTATATCTATGTCTTTTGGCGTTATTTCTCATCAGTGATTAATTAATTAATTGATTAATAACTTTATTCTTGGTAGGATCTCACTTGTTAATGTTGATACGTTGGTCGATTTATGTAATGAGAATTCTTAATGATTTGCTTGCCATTTTCATCAATTTGTCACATGGACCTAATAAATCCACTAAAACTCTACTAGTTTCGGCTCTATTCTCCTGCTAATAATAAAATTATCCTTGGCCATATTTAATGGCTAAAGGTAAGAGAGTGGCAGATATGATTGTCCTGTTTGGGTTAAATGTCGAGATGTAGAGAAGAGAACAAATTAACACCAACTGGAGTAAATTTGTGGTTAAATTTAAATATTATTGTTGAAGACAAATTTTCCACCATATAAAAAATTATGGATTAAAGATTGATTGATTGGCCGATTGTGGTTATGAACTAATATCACGATTGCTAAAAATAACACAGTTATTCACCAGATCAACTTTAGGGCATCATTCTTTTTCAGAATTCTTTAAATTGCAGATGCGAGCTCCAGGAAATTTCATTAACCTCAAACTTCAATAAACCCACAAAAATAAAAAATTATAAAAGTGGCGAATTTACAAGTGATAAATATATTATATATTATATATATATATATATATATATACAATATGAAATGAAAATGAAATTAATGAACGCATGCTTAAAGGGTAACTAAGACTCATATAGGAAATTCGAAAAAAAGTTTAAAAAAATCGAAAATTTTATATGAAATAATTTTTGGGAATCAACCACCCTCATGTCGATGAATAATAACAATATAAAATTCATTTTACAACAAAATTCATAGATTAAAATAAATTTTTTTCTCCGACAGAAATTAAACCTTTCATAAAAGATTAGGGATATTGGCTTCCTTTGTGTATTTCTGTTGCCATGTGATTCCGTGGAAAAAATTTCCAATAGTACTAACAACGAGCTGGATTAACCACAAATGATGAACGCTGAGCATTTAATAAAAAATGTCAAAACTCATTAAGCTTTTGTGAATTTAGCAACAAAAGCAGTATCAGTTTATTTTTGGTTAATTTAGGCAAAGTAACTGGCATAGTTCGATCATTTAGTGCCAACTGGAAGAGATCAATTGATGCTATAAATCAGGAAATTATTCGATCATTTACCAATTTTAAAAATGGGACAAATATCCTTCAGGTATACCTTTCAATAAATCGACCATATTTCGGAAAGAGTATAGTTTAATCGTAGTTATGATTTATTTCTGATAATAATTAATAATAACAATAATATTAATAAAAGAACAATATTATAATAGTAATAGTAATGATAATCAATAATAATAATAAAATAAACAACGAATAACAATATTAATAAATCATAGGCATACGCATAAGCATTTGTATAAACCTTTCAGTATTTTATTTAAAGAATTTTGCATGTTTCATATTTAACTAATTGTGCAACTAATAATTTCTGTATTTGTTATTTTTTTATATCATTTTTGATTTAAGGCAACATTCACAGAATTAATCCAATATTATCATCGGTTCAGTAAGGTTACTGCACATGAAGCATTTGCTGATAATTCGGTTTTAAAGGAATTGGTGAATATCCATCATATTATGGTAGAATTGAAGAAGTACAAACCAGTTTATTAATCAAATATTTATTTTAATTTATTTGATTTATTTGATGGGCCATTACGAGATTTGTATTCTCATAGCATCCGCTTAGTTTTCTCTCAAATTTTTTAATATCGATTTATGAAAAATGCATTTTCGTTAATCCAGATAAAACTTGAAATTTCAATTCTGAAAATTAATAATTAACTATATTTAAAAATTACCTTTATTTAAAGCTTCAGTGCTATATACTGGCATGATGAAGACACCAGTGTATATGTTATACAACGGTAATAAATATGCGAATATATCCCAAGGTCTAAATAGTTTCTTCGATTTTTTATTAAAATTTTCCAACATTTATTTTCAACAAAAAAGACGATAAATAGACGATTTCGTCTTATTAAAAAATCATGAGTTGATTTATTTTATGAAAAAGGATTTTATGAAAAAAATTTATGTTATAAATTTTATTTTGTTATAAATTTTACGATTTATTTAAAAAAATATATCTTTCCCGCAGTTTATAACGTTCAAATCCCTCGCGTAAAAAAAAAAAAAAACAAAATTTAGGAAATGAAACGGTTTTAGTTATAATGTTAAAGAAAAACAAAAACAATCACATAAATATTAAGAAAAAACAAAATAAAGCAAAAAACCTGGTAATTACATAAATATTATATAAATATATATTATATTATTTTAAAAAAGCAATTGTTATAAAAAAATTCCTGAAAATAAAAAACGAATGAATCGACACTTCTTGAAAAATTCACAATGTTCAAGCATTGTTTCACAAAAACAAACTGCAATAAGAATTAATCATAGCTATAAGAATCATAGCTATAATCATATAAGAATTTCAGAGCAAAAGTTAAACGGTCAACTTAAACGGAAAATGGTTTAAATTTAAAAATATCGAGGTTTAGGAAATTTTAACAGAATTCTAACTGAATATCAATCTTTAAACTCAATTCTCACTTTTTTTCTAATTTATAATTATTTAAAAGAAAATAATTATATTATTATACATTATTACAGATGAATGAACATCGCATCAAGATTTAAACTGATTGTGTTTCCCCATGATTTCTTGTAAACTCTTTGACATATAGTAAGGTTTATCCGGTGTTCCATCGTTGCATTCCATATCTTCCACTGGAAAGAACTATTTTCATTTATATTATTTATAAGGATTTTCGGAATTTTCAGATCTCGGATGAATTAAATAATATGCACTGAGTGATTAAAATAAGCCGAAAAACACATACGAAAGCAAAGGAAATTGGTATGTACGGCCATATCGTAAACGCTCATAAATGATGAAGCAATAAAGTAAGAGCCAATAACAACAATAGCAATAGGAACAAAATAATAGTATAATTCTATCTGCGGTATTCCATCAATCATCCAACGTCCACTGAACCAAAAGAATGATATAACACCTGAAATATGGTTTAAATATTTGAAAAAATGAAAGAAAATTTAAAATTTTTGAAAAAAAAATAGCCTACACAAAATATAAAATTACATAAAAGCATACCGACACCTAAGGTGACTGTCACCTTCCCAAGTAAAAGTAAAAAGTCAGTGACTTTGCCGAGTACAACATATCGTACAATATTTTTTGCGATAATCGAAAATGAATCCCTTGCAGAAGTACAAAAATTCTTTCCATAAATTGCTGACTAAATTATCAGTGGAAAATTATAGAAAAAAAATATTTTTCAGAAATCTTTGATAAAACTTGATAATTTCAATAGAATTTGAACAATTTTTTAAATTTTTTTCAAATTCAAAAAAAAATTTATTCTAAAAAATTTTGAACGTTTTAAAAAAATTAAAATTTCGAAATGAAAAATTGCAATATTAACGAAGTGATAAATATGCGGAAATTTCAGGAGGAATTTCGAGCTCATAGGCTCATGGTTAGATATACGGAATCACACAATGAAAAAAAGACTGGCTTTGATCAATTTCAAGCAAGACATTGGATCGAGAAGTTTGGAAATTCGCCTACTATAATCGCAATTTCAAGCAAGACATTGGATCGAGAAGTTTGGAAATTCGCCTACTATAATCGCAGTGGTATTAGCCAGCAGTGGTATTAGAAGGAAGAGAATTACCAAAAGAAGGAGAACTTACCATTATGAAGGCATTTCTTGTTAAAAACTTCAAAAACATTTCAAAACACCAAAAAAAGAATTTAAGGCACCTGAAAATAAAATAAATATAAGGCATAAATATTTATTGAAACACATATTTTATTTATAAATTCTTGGTTGTCTTAAAGTTTAGAAAATTTAATGCCTTTAAAAAAAATCTTTTCTCAGAAAATCATCTATAATAATATAATTGAAGCCAAAATTTTTTTATCAAAAGTCGTCTAAATATTGATCCACTTTAAAAATGACGACTAGTCACAAAAAATTCCTCCTAAATATCGGTGGAAAAAATGTTATGTCAATGTCTTGAAAACTATTTTAATATTAAGTATTAAAGCAGTATAAAATAAATAATATTAAACATCAAATAGTACCATTAATGATAAGAAAAGGGTGAAATGATTAAAAAAACAGATATGCTGAAAATATATGCTAGAAAAAGTATGAAAATATTTTAAATATCATCTGGAAAAATGAGACATTCCAGATTTAGGAATATATAATAGCAAATATTTTTTTCTAAAAATCCAAAGTAACCTTCATTGTACTAAAAAATCAGAAGACAAACTGGATATAAATAAAAGATAGAACATAGCTCATAGAACATAGAACAACAACCTCATGATAAATTTGATAATGCTATTATTCGAAACTCCAAATTTTTTATCAAAATAATCAAGAATGGCTCGAATAAATTTTGTTAAGGCAAGAATAATTGAACCGAATGCAATTGTTCCAAGATGATATCTAAAAATAATGTTGGCGAATTTCAAATGATATAAATCGAAATATTTTGTAACTTCATCTTTCGTCACAACCTTTTATGAATTATTTTGCGCTAACAGACCATTTTCAATCGGAAATTAGAACGCTTTTGGAAAGTGGTTAAATCAATTACACGTTTACCTTAAAACACGTCCAAATGACCTTAGAATCGGAAAAGAAGGAACATCTTTTACTTTATCAAAGGCCCAATAATAACTAGCAAAAGCGCCAGCCAAAATCATATCAGTCAGCCCAGAAATAAAGCATGTAAGCCAAAAGAACGCAAATAAATTATAGCCTTGCAGATAAATTATTCTATTATCGCGTGTTAGATTAACATAACGACATTCAGGATCCTGCAAATCTTCATAAATATGCATAAAATTCAATAAAAAAAGATTTGTATAGAACAATAACTCTTTTTTTATATTCATTTTAATTCTATAAAATTACTTTTTCAGTTCCAATACTGCTACAATCGCATGCAGTCATATTGCGTAGATCACCACCAGAAATAAGCGGTCTTTGGCAATTCTCTTTACCCGACGACGCCAACCAAATAGTCACAAAAGCCCAAATGATAAATGCCATAAAATTAAGAAAAAATGGAATAACTGGAAATAATAGCGAAGCGCTCATAGCACCGATAGATCTGAAATTAGTTTTAATAAGATAGAGCTGAAAATTTAATATTTTGAAGAGAGAAAAAATATTTAGGCTTACTTAGAAGATTCTTCAATTAACGCAACGGCAAGTTTTACTCTCGAATAAATACAGCAAAAAATTATAATAATTAGCAAAAGAACAACACTGAATGAAATAGCTGAAAAAAAAGATATTATAAGAAAGGAGAAAAATTTTAAATTAAAAGATAAGTTAGGTTTTAGAATTTCTCGCAAATACCGTAAAATTTCAAAAATATAGACAATTTTAAAATAATGTCCATAATGCTGGACCACTTTATTAAATAAATTTTTCATTGGCTATTAAAGGTGAAAGCCAGAAAGTTGATTAGAAACAGAAATACAGATGTGCTGCATATGAATTCTGATGATGAATTTTACTTCCATTAAAGGCTTGAAAATTATCTTGACTTGATAAACCAAAAAATTAGATACGATTAGATAATAAGACTATTTCGGCAACTTGAGTTACTATTTGATATTTTGCTATCTAACAAAAGAAAATTCAATAAATGAAAAGACTACAAAAAAATTTTACCTAGAACCAACCAAGTGGTAGGCATCTCAAAATAAACACTTATATCAGGCTGAAACGAATAATCGTTTACAGCACCCGAATCGTGCAAAGCCTTGTATCGCATCCAACTATATGTTGAACCTAATAAAATATTGCAGAAAGAAATTAAAAGATTTGATTCGCATAAAATTTAATGCAATATAAATTGGAATAATTGAATAAAACGAAAAAGCATTAAAATTTAAAATGGAAATGAAAGTTAAACCTCCAGCTAGTACAATAACCAAGGCGAAAGTCGTGGTCCAAATCATGTATCCACCAAGTATTCGCATAATAATAATCCACATAAGGGAAATGACAGCTGTTGCAAGAAAGAATGACAGAATTTGCCACCATGTTACGGTAATATCTGCTGCTACTCTCTCAATAACGCTTTTATTCGAAATAATCGCTCCAATAAGACTAAATTCATACTATTCCATAAATAACTAAGCGAAATCCATGAATTCATACTAACTATTGTTCTTCTAACAGTACCTACCAGTGCTGCTTTGGACATTACTCTACTGGCCATTAAACCATTTCACAGAGTCATAAGGACATAAAATTATAGATGGTTTCATAATTTCACTTTATATAACTGAATTGAACATACTAAACCAATGGTTAACTACATTCAGAATTTAAGGATTTTATCCTTAAACATAAAAATCATTGCTATCTGATTAAACGTTCACCTAGAAGCGTTTGCCAACTCAAAATCACTTGGAACCTTGTCGTTGTCATTTTTTAATTCGTCAATGACTGAATCCAATGAAAAATTTGATTTCGCACTTTTTAAGACTGCTTGATTTGCTCTAAATATAATTTCGGGCATGCATCTCCCAAGAACTGAAAATTAGCATTAGTTAATTAATTATCAGCTTTCTTAATTAGTTGTTTAATGAAAAATTTGCCAATCAAAATTCTTATACAAAAATTCTTATTATAAGCTTAAACAACAGTTTTGAACAACTATACCAGGTATATAATGAACCGTATAAGAGGTACAATCACCACTGTCGACAAGATTTTTTAAAGCATTGAAATTATGAACAGCTAATTTGTTCACTCCATCTCGGCATATTACATTACTTTGAACTTCTCTTTCAAATTCTTGGCCACTTTGCAATTTCTGAAGTTGTAGATAGGTGAAGGTTTTTGTTGGACATTCCGTTACGCACACCTATAATAATTTAGATGTTGAATATTGATTCAAAAAACGTGGAGTAAATTTTCTACTAAAAAGCGAAATAAAAATGATATGCTGGGCACTCGTCTACACTTCATTCTTAAGTGATTCTCCAATAAAGGACGGCATTCCCATTCTTACAGGCTATTCATATGCAGCTAGCTAAACGAAAATTATTGGAAGATTGAGGAGAATTGTTCAGCAGCTATGAAACATTTTGGTCTCATGGTGAAAGTTGATTCCAGTTAACACCAAAATAATAAGCAGAAATTTATTTTAAAAAAAACCTGAGTAGTAGGGCAACCAGCAATGAAAGTAGCATAAGAAAAGCACTCCGTGAGATCAAAATACAGCAAATATGGTTTTTTACTGAAATAATTACTTACTGAATAATAATAATTAATACTGAAATAATAATAATTAATTTTAGCACAATAAAAATTAGGCCCTAAATCGGATATATTTCAGAGTACCTTAAATCATAAAATCCGGCCCTTTCGGTGCCGCAGAATCGTCCTTCCGAATCGGTTGGATGAATTAAGCGTTTTGGATTGCCCCAAATAAATCCTGGAAGAAATCTGGTATCCTGAATACTATTAAAAAATACTATAAAAAATAAAACAATATATATGATCAATAAATTGATCAAAATTATTTTCAAAAATAGTTTATTTATACCAAGAATGATTAAAAAATATAAAAACACCGAATAGAAAGTTAACAGTGAATAAATAGAAACAAACCAATAGCTGCGACGAATACCCATCCGGAGAGAAAAATTAGGAATACGAAGCACCAAAAACCATCCGTACAACTTCTGGATGAAGAAATTATTGGATTAATATATTGCTTTTGAAATGATAAATTATTTCTTCTAAGATTAGATTGCTTAGAAATAGGAGAAGTCTTATTAGGAATCCTAATATCAAATCTGGCTGCACGACGCCCTATTATAACTTTTTCACGAGGTGGAAGAGGTGGTGGAGGAGGTGAAGATCTCGGTTGATGGATTCTTTGAATAAGCGGTGAAGGATAATATGAATATGGCGGAGGTGGTGATTCAAAACGGTGCGTATAATTACAGCAATGAGCTGTGGATTTTTTACGACTATTTGCATATTGCAAAGGAGCCAAATTTACCCGATAATAGTCAGATTTAGTCATCGAAAAATTCTGTGGTACTTTGATAATCAATGCATTTCTGCAAAAATATATAATGAGTTTCCAGAAATTCAATATATTTTTGATCGAAATGGATCGAAAATGTTTAACAAGAAAAAGTAGAACGGCTCAGTGGGCCATTGCTGCCATTTCAGGACTAAACCCAGAGTTCTGTTTCTGACAGGTGTGAATCATTTTCTAAAATCTGGATGAGGCTAACCACTTTCCTGAATTTCTAACACCAAATGCCTTCCTGCAAAAATTTATCTGATGAACCAGTGGAGTGAATCTAACCAGAAATAATGAATTAGAGCTAGAAAATAAGAAATCTTGTTCGCTTCTTCAACTCATACGTGGAACAATGCTGTAGCAAAATGTGTGAATAAATTCATCGGCTTTTATTCATAAAAATTCGTAAAAAATGGAAGGATTCTATTCATTTATTCATCTAAAATGGAATCCTTTCGTCACCAGAAAACCTTTTAAGTATTGTACTGCAGTACTGATGGAACGATATCACTACTCCGATTACTTTTAATGGCAAGGTTTATTTCCATTCAATGAATGAATACGGCCATAAACAATTATGCTTGGCCGTATGGTCGATGCGACATATTCTGGCATGAAATATCGATTATGAGCAAAAATCGCGATGACCTTGAAAGAATTTACTTTTTGGGAAAGCCAAACAAAATTTTCATCATCATAGTGCTTTTAGATAACCAACTTTCCGATATACTGATAAGATTAAATAAAGCGAATAATTATGAGTTAAATAATCATTCGATTTCACAAAAAGATGATAAAAGGTTGATAAACGTATTGAAAAGTCAGATAAATCATTAAAAAATATGAAATTCGCTATCAACAATTTACTTCGATGACCTTCAACAATAAATAAAAATTTTAAAGAGAATAAAAAACAATTGATTTCCTGATGCCGAAAAATTTTCAACTGAAAAAACAAGGAAAAAAATGAAAATAGATGAACAGATTCACGTAAGCTTGTTTCACATCCAATATTTTCTAATGCTATTTAAGAAGCGCACGCCATTCCTGGTTAGTCTTGCTTGACTGGTTTGCCGGACAAATTTTTCCAGGGGGGATTCACTTAGAATCGAGTCATTAGCGACAGAAGCACAATATAGTACAGCAAAGAAGTATACGCGGATTGCTAGCACCGTACGGATGTATGAAAGACAGGTTTACGCCTGTCAAGAGTAGAACATTAGCTCCGAAATGAGAGCAATAACCCACCGAGCCACTCTATCTGTTAGAACAAATTTTAGAAATTAAGAAGAAATTTTTTTCGAAGAATTATAATTAAGAATTCGAAGAATTAAGAATTTTGTAAGAATAAGCGAATCTTATTGCAAAAAAATAGCCTCAGATTGAAAAAGTAAGATTTCGCTTGCTTGTTCTTCTGAATCATCATTTCAGGTGAGGCTTTATCCATTAGCCACAGGAACGAAACTTTTTCACAGGAGAGGACAAGATCCAGGGGGAGTGGAAGTACCTTCGGGCATTCCATTTCATTCAAAATTGGTGAATTGAATCAAAAATCGAAATTTCTTCGAAAACAAATCGAAGAAAAATATTTTTTAAACAACAGATAGCGAGATTGATCAATTAATGTGGAACGGTCGGTATTGATCCGCGAAACAGAACCAGAAAATATTTGATTTTAAAGTGGATAAGTAAGCGAATGGGTATCATTTCTGGTAAATTAATTTCGTTAAAGCGATTCGCACGATTAGAACGATAAGAGAATTCACTGACGATCGAAGGGCACAGGTAGACTGCCAGCATTCGGAAGCTTCGGAGAGTCACTGACTTTCTCGCAGTTGTGGAAGAAAAAGCCTTGTCCTTCAATATGTTACGATCACTGTACACTATTGTACATAATACTGAAGAATAATTAATTGATAATTGATAATAATTAATTGGAACTTCTTTGTTTAATAAACCATTTAGACCGAAATTACTTGAAAACTTAGAATTGCGAGTAAGTTGGACATGTTCTGAGTTGCAGATACGATAAGAGAATTTTTTAATCAATTTGGAACTATACTTTAGAATCTGTGAGAACGGTACATGAAGTACATGGAGAACTCTACCAAGAAACCACCGATTACGTATTGCTTTTTATCACAGTGGTTCGCTCTCTTGTAGGAATTAATTTGTCTTCAGAAAAGTGATGCTGAGATTCACTTGCAGTTTTGATTCTTTGATAAGCTTGTCTCAAACGACCTAACCAAAATTTCTAACCGAATTGACAGCCAGTGGAGCAGGCCTAGCCAGGAACCGCGAAACCCTTTCTCCCTTATGTTTCATAAATATCGAGGAAATCTCGGTGAATGTTAATCCCTTAAACATCAAGGCAATTCCTAGTTTGGCGAAAAATAATTCCATCGAATTTCGACCAAATTTTAAAAAAGTCGTAATTATAAAATGGTACGGTCGTTTATCGCAATTATGAATGACGACGACGGAAAACCAAAGTGGTAAATTAGGGAAACGAGGAAACAACTCTCGTCGGATGACACGCACATCTGAAATGTTTGCTAGCAGACAGAATAGGTTTGGAGAGTGTTGACCTTTACCAACTGTAAAACGCGATTTACGCATCTAATTTAGGTCGTCTGATGAAGGGATGAACAAACAGAGAAACCATCTCTTCGATATGAATCACTTAAGCGTCGTAATAGTAGATGTTGGCAATGACCAGTAACCATCACTCACCGAACTGAATTAAAGAGGTACATTTTCGCTGGATTCGAAAACAGCCCAGCAATAAGGCATATGAAAAATGGACAAAAATCTCTAGTTGCGAACGAGTAAAGAAGTAGATTAGCGGCTCAGCTGAGACGATTCACCGATATTTGTATCGCCAAGTGACTCCTTAATGAATTTTGTCTAGCGTTAAAAATTTAATGGGGTGTAGGAATTTATATATAATATCAGTGATAAGTGTGACAATATATATAATATCAGTGATAACCAGAAAAATACAGTATTTAAAAGGTTTATATATAAATATTTATATTTTCCTTATAGTTTTAATAACAAAAAATTAGAGCAAAAAGTAATAATCGATAAGTAAGTCGGAACTTGATAAAAATTTTAAAAACGAAATTCGAACTATTTTACAACAGCTATTCGTATTTTAATTAGGAAAATTATTATTTATTATAATAAAAAAACTTTACCTTTGATTAAAAATTGCTTTTTTTCTTGAACTTCTTTCCATTCCTGGAAAAGATTTTTTTCGAAAATTTAGATAGAGAAAGATATGATTTGCATATACATAATTTCCGTGATAATCAGTGATAAAAAAATCAAAATATCACCAAAAAATTGACATATTTTTATATAATCCATTTAATGATAAGCGACTTTTAATAAAAAAATTATTGATGATTACTGATAATAATACTTACCTAACTTATTATTTTTTGTAATTAAATGTCCATATGAATTTGTCTGAAATTTAGAATAATTCGTTACTCCAACGACTTCTAGCGCAACAATTCGAATTCGGAAAATTTCAGCAGAATTTATTCGCTTAATTAGAATCCAAAAAGAAATATAAGAAATTGCGGTTGAAAGTCTAAGAAGCAATCCGCTCGCAGTGGTCTTATATGAGGTTTCACCGAAGAAATTCACCTACGAAACCTGAAAGCTCCTAATTCAGAGCAGAAAATTTTTATCGTATTCAGTTCTTTTGCAGAAAGTTTCAAGCTGAAATTTAGTGAATCTAAAAATTTCTTCTAACAGCACTGAACATTTCTGCTTAAGAATCTAATGCATAATTGGTATTTTTTCCGCAAGAGTCACTTGGAGATACGAATGAGTCCTCAGCACCATTCGGAATTCGCTTCCAGGTTTACTCCATTTAAACTATATAGGGACCAAAACCATGACGTGACCTGATTTGATGACCTGATTGTCCTATTCGAAGCATTCTACACCTCGGCCGAGACAAATAACAAAGCTCACATATTCGAATATCAGAGAAAGCAGAGAATCAACAGTTCAGATATATAATTCAGTTCAGAAGCACAAACCAGAAGATTCCAGAAAAACTGGAAATTCTTTCTGCATTCTTTCGCAAAATTTAACTTGGCAATGATACTGTCCTCTAAAACGAGATTTTAATTATACTGCATTATTGATTTGACTGGGACAAAAATCACTTCAGTGGCTAATCTTTTAACAGTGCTAAAAAGTCCAATTAAAAATCTCATCCTCTAACTCCACCAATGCATCTTAAATGGCTGCGTTGAATAAGGCGTTGCAAGCCGATCCATATTTGAGAGTAGTAGAGGCCAATTCTTCTCCCACTGACTAAGCTCAAATATGTCACATATGTCAGTTGGTCGTCTATAAAATCTATTTTGAAATTTATAGCTTTCACTGAATCAGTAGTATAAAACTTTGGCAAATAATTAACAATTAGAATTATTTCTATGGCAACGAGCTATATATTTTCGTTATCCCTGTTCAATTTTCAAAAACAAATTACAGAGAACGATTTGAGAAAAAAATTTCATGGATGAAATATTTTCATGAAAATATGAGGAGAAAAGAGAAAATCGCAGTATTTCTCGACAAGCAACGAAAGTTCATCGCACGAAGGTACTTTCCATAAAAGAAGACTACTGCGCTACCTTCAAATTCTCAAAATTCTAATCAGAATTAATTTGATTTCCACAGTAAACTTCGGCAATTTTTGTCACAAAGCAATATTAATTATAATTGGCCAAATTATTTTTAGGCTTTTTTTATGAGTTCACAAATAGGATATCCATGATTCTTAAACTAAAATAAATGAACGGTTTCGGTAAAATGCTACTGATTTGAGTTTTTTTGAAGTGAAAAGTTTATATTGGGGAGGGGGGGATGAGGGAAAGGGGAAGGTGGTAGAATGGCTCATTTCTCATCCCGAATTACCGTTGCTGGGATTCTGTTTTCGGGATGAGTAAACTTGTTTTTCGAAAATTTGAATGATGCTAGCAGTTCATCTAGTTTTTTATCGT